CTCTCTCTCTCTCTCTCTCTCTCTCTCTCTCTCTCTCTCTCTCTCTCTCTCTCTCTCTCTCTCTCTCTCTCTCTCTCTCTCTCTCTCTCTCTCTCTCTCCTCCTCCTCTCTCTCTCTCTCTCTCTCTCCTCTTCTACCTCTCCTACCAGAGAACAAAGATGCGAAATGTCTGGAAAATATAGTGAGGTATTTTACGAGAATCGTAGATTTGAGCAAACTAGAGAAAAGTCTACGAATACGGGATTCGAAAATCCCAAGATTCAGTGACTAGGAAATTATGCGGTAGAATAGGAAGAAACGTAAGAAATTTCTTCTTGACTTAAATTTCGTTTAGCAAACGTTTGAAATTAAAATGATGAAAAAGAATGTAGGATCGAGGATTTAGAGTCGTCACACGTCCCTTCTTGTGTCTGTAATGAAGATAAAAGTAGTCACGTCATGTGGCTCGTTTCTGCGCTAGCCGCACGAAAATTACGACTAAATTTCAAAACACGGTTTCGTTGTAATTATCATTTGTTCGGCGACTACGTCATTTATCGCTGCTCGCTCGCGCTCGAGCGAATCTCACGTGGGTTTATCCGCGCGCCCGTATACGTTACGTTAAAGTATGAAAAATGATGTATCTTGCGTGGCTTAATGGTCCATCCCTTTTTTCCCACGCACGTTATTCGCGCATCACGGCGTATCATTTCGGAAAATATAATGATCCTATCAGGTAAGATTCATAGTAAAGATAAAATATCCTCATCGCGATTCATCGAGGAAAATCGACGTAAGAGGGCTAAGTACGAAAAATAAAATAAAAGTCTCTCGAATCTCCCGTTTTTTACGACACCATCCCCCTTCGACTGTCGGGTGTTTCGGGATTTCTATCCGGACTTCGTGTTTAAAAAATTCTATAAATAAACGTAACATGTAATAAATGTATGATACGTGTTACCACTCGAGTGGCTCTCCCTCAAAAAAAAAAAAAGAAAAAAAGAAAAGTAAGAAAGACGAAGAGGAGCTATAAATTGGGGGGGTGACGAAACTCGGCAAGATGCAAAGACCGTGGGGCAAGTGCAATGAAAGTGCCATTTGGTACAGCACACACGATGCTCACCCCTACGACTGGCACGTGCCTCGAATATAATTTATTGCAGTTGGAATTTTGTGGGGTGTCTCGCGGATCCCCCGCGTGCTCTTTGTACCTAGCGACGGGTACAAGCCACTTCTGTTGTCCGCTCGATACACAGGATCCTACCAATAATGATCACTCGACAGAACGTCGTTCTATTTCCGCAGGGAAATATTGAAAGGAAAAATAGACGGAGGCCCAGTACAAAGTCAGTCATTTTAGATTCAAAAAGTAAAGAAGTCACTTATTTATGGAAAAAAAAATGTATATAATATTTATTTAAAATATGTTAAATGACTTTAAATAATATTTACATCTTTTATTTTCTTTCAGGAGGAAAAGGAAGAAATAAATTCTTCGAAAATTTGTTCAGAGCTAATTAAAAGATCGTCAAAGCGGGGATTATTCCTAATATTGCCTAATACTAATTCTCGACTCAATTCATTATTAATTTTTCCATTCTACGATACGAAAACATTACTACGAGCGATGCAATTTATTTTTCTACCTATTCACCACCGCCACGCTCCTATCTCGCGTCTACCTAACGAGCCTGTTTTTTTTTTTTTTCCCCCATCCCCTCGCGACAGTCCGTTTGAAAGGAAGGACGCTCGTGGCATATATCGTCCACGACGATATATCGACTTCATACGTGTCGCACTTGGAAATCGCGATGGTTTCGGTGTGGAGCGTCCCAATAATTCGGATCTCGTATTTTGCCGAGAGCAACACCGCCCGAGCGAATCCCGGCTACCCTCATCGCCAAAACAACCACCCTCGCGTACGTGAGCGGGATGAGCAAGCGGGATCAGGCGGGCGAGAGGGCTCAGCGGGAGAGAAGATCTCCGAAGTTTTGAGTTTGTGAAAAGTTCGAACGGTCCCTTCACACGTCTTAGCTTCTTTTTCCAGCAGAATGCCTGCTCCCTAGCAGCCGCGATCGGATCGCCATCGAGGCGACTTTGTTCGATCCGGCTTTATCTTCGACCATTCATTACCCGAGAAGCAATCGACAGTAATCACATTCGAAGTAAAAAAAAAAAAAAAAAAAAAAACAAAACAAACTAAATAATTTACGACAATCGATTTGACAATCATTTTTAGCGACTCGCGTTTCTCGCGTAAAATTATTATGGTCAGATTTAAATGGGACTTCCCGATCTTTCCATCTTCTCCAATCTTCAAAATCAGCTTTTGAAATTTCCTTTTAGTTCCCTTAGTAACTTGTAATATTCATTCTCGTTTTTCGAAGAGAGTAATTGGAGATTGAGAAGTGAATATTTAGGATCGAATTAAAGGTAATTCTTTGAAATTGCAGATGTGAATTTTTTTCTGCGTTACTTGGCAAAAGCGCGGGGATTTTCCTTGAATTAAATGGCACCTTTCGAGATTGCCCCTTTCACGATTTCCGTTTCTGATATTCTTAAAGCGTATTAGCTTCCGTCACGAGTCCCGCGGGAGCAATCTCTCCTAGAAAGTTTCATTCAAGTTTGGTTGCCAGTTATATTCGTATATCCTTCCTGTCCGTTAGGGAAATCCGACGAGATCAGTCGCGAGGTTTACCAATTTATATCTCATTTAATTTGCGGATCAACTCGCGCAAAACTATGCTTTGTTCAATTCAATTCGGTTGACACAGTACGCGCGGTAAAAATAACAATATACAAAATTGTGTGTAACGTAGAAAAAAAATAATAACGATGATGAGAATATTTAAATAATTTTTATAGAAGCTCGTTTTTTTAGCTTTACACGTTTGCGAAATCTAAACTGACAAAAGTCGTGGGCGAGACAAAAGAATATTATTGCGAGAGGTTCTCATTGACAATATCGGAGGGATGCGTGGATTCTGCGTGATGCATCTGCGTGAGCACCGCGGGGGTGGCCGGGGGGAGAATGGCGCGGACGAGAGGGAGATGCTGCCGGACCGAAATCTGGCCTCAGTCGTGCGCGACGCGCCATATGCGGTGGACCATTTGTCAGCCCGCTCACAAAGGCCAATAATCTCGCGTGACACGTGTGCCTCCCCGATAAAAAGCGTTACGTGTCGCGTGGCGTTACGTTGGAAAAAGTTTTTCCAACGCGACAGAGAGAATTCGGCTGTCGCGCGGCGCGGTACCGTGGCACGTGATAACGATAACGATTCGAAGATCGATTCGTTTCCATATGTCTCAACTAGTATACAACATCGATTAAATTTACCTGCCGAAGGTATTTTAATTATTAATTAATTCAGTAAATTCGGTAGGAATTCGGTAGGGTTTGAGTTTCGATCGGTCCGCGAGATGTTCTCGTTTTCCTCCGTCTTGAAGCACGTGGCACCCGCCGACAGGGAAAGTGCAAAGAATGTCGTAAGAAACTTTGCGTTTTAAAATAGGTGAGTTATATACTTATTTATATATGCACATATGAATAGGTATAGGTTTATTTGTTGTATTTATGTACATTTTATTGCTGAAATTTTTAAAATAAAATGGATACATATTTAAAATTTAGCAACAGCGGCTCTTATAAATTTAATATTTATAATATTATATAATATTTATAATTTAGTGATTAATTACCTATTTTGAGTATTAAAAACACTGAACAACATTGTTTTTAATATTAAAAAAAAAATAATTTCCAGTATATTATATTGGCCAGCATTAAATTAAATTTCTGCAAAGGGAAAGAAAATTTTAGTGCAGCAATAAAAAGAAACGGATATTAATTCTGTATTAATTTAATAACAACAATATTATTATATATTCGCGGTGATCGCCGTGTGATGGTTCGCCATAAGCTTGTACTACTCTCCCTATGACTTTGCTTCTCCATTCAATCACGCTTTTATTATCTCTATGCTTTTTCGCGACAACAGCACACGCGGAAAATCCTATCTGATATGTATCACGAGCGCAGTTTCAATGAGAATTAAAGTTTAATCCCTCCGATGTAGAATTAAATTGCTTAATGGGCTCCACAGATTCCTCGGAGCATCTGTAATTAAAACTTGACGCAATTGCGACGCGCCACCATCAAATAATGCAAACTTTCGTGAAAAATAGATCCGCTTAGCGGGAGAGCTTACTTTATTTAATTATTGAAATCGTGTGATACGAAATTAAAGACCAAAGTCGACGGATCGCGTTGCAAAGCGCGTAAAAAAAAAGAGAGAGACAGGAAGAGAGAGAGAGAGAGAGAGAGAGAGAGAGAGGAGGAAGAAAGA